AGGACCACGAAACGGTGTGCCGGGCGGGGGAGACGCATGCGGACTGCGCCACTGGGACCCTCGGTGGGGCTCCCCATGGGGCCACGGAACGCTGTATCGGGTGTGGGAGACGCATCCTGGCTGCGACACTGGGACCTTCGGTGGAGCTTCCTATGGGGCCACGAAACGCTGTACTCGGCGGGGGAGACGCATGCGGACTGCGCCCCTGGGACCGTCGGTGGAGCTCCCTACGGGCCCACGAAACGCTGTAGTGGGTGGGGGAGGCGCACGCGGGCTGCGACACTGGAACCTTTGGTGGAGCTCCCTATGGGGCCACAGAAGCATGTACTGGGTGGGGGGGGGGCGCATGCGGGCTGCGCCACTGGAACCTTCGGTGGAGCTCGTTATGGGGCCACGAAACGTTGTACTGGGTGGGGAAGACGCATGCGGGCTGCGCCAGTGAAACCTTCAGTGGAGCTCCCTATGGGGCCACGAAACGCTGTACCGGGTGGGGGATACTTATGCGGGCAACGCCTCTGGGACCTTATGTGGAGCTCCATGGGGCCACGAGACGCTGTACTCGGTGGGGGAGACGCATGCGGGCTGCGCCACTGGAACCTTCGGTGGAGCTTCCCATGGGGGCACGAAACGCTGTACTGGGCGCTAGGGAGGAGGGAGGAGGGTGAGGAGGATCAGGGGAGAGGAGAGGAGGAGAAGAGGAGAGGAGGAAGAACGCGGGGCGCTGTCTTTTCAAAACGAAGACCCAACACTAAAGGATGGTTGGGAAACAACTGCATAAACAGAAACTTGTGGCGCTCCGCGCGGATCTTTTGGATCCGCGCAGGACCCTCCCTTCCTGGCGCGCGGAGCGCGCCAAGGGCTGCGCCGAAGCCGCCAGGGGGGCCCAACGCCGATCCGAGAAATCTGCGCGGAACGCCAGAAGCTTCTGTGCATGCCCGTGTTTCGTTTTCGAGGGAGGGCATGGCAGGACGGAGCCGAAATGCCGCCGGGGCGAGCGCGTGGCGCGCACGGGCAGGGGACCCCGCCGTCCTGCTGGCACGCTCCCTCGGCCCCGACGTCCTGCACCGCATCCTGGCCGCCACTGCCCGCACTGCTGCGAGGCGCGGATGTCCTCCTCCCGACCCTCCTGCTCCTCCCCCCCCCGCCTTCCCCCCCACCCCATCCCCTTATGCCGACGCAGGCAAAGTGCAAGCAGCGAATCAAGCATGGCGGGCGCAGCTGGACAAGGCAAAGCAACGCGACGCGAGAAACGCACGGGGCCCAAGTCAATGGAGCATGCGCCCGCCAGGCCGCACGGTGGAGAGGGGAAGGACAGAACCACGCACCGGAACAAACAGCTTCACTCAAAACCGAGAACGAACCGAATGGATAATGACGATAAAAACACGTGCAGAGTGGAGGGCGGGCGGCCCTGAGCGACAGCCGCGTTGCTATGCCTGTAGCGACTCCGCACCGCAACAGCGATCCAATACCCGCCCCCACTCCCCATTTGTTATAAGTCCAGGCGCGCAGCACTGAAGGTCAAAGAGTGCAGCACAGGCGGCGCAAGAGAGAAAAGTAGCGAGAGGAGGAAGTCAGGCTTGAAAGTTGCGGAATCGAGGCGTTAAAGAGCAGCGGGCCAACATAGAGTGGGAAGAACAAAATGCAACGCCGCCTCAAGGCGGTGGTGCAGCGGGCGTTGTACTCTGGCGCGCATTCTCTTCCCGTCCCCGTAGCAGCCCCCTACCCACCCCACCTCAAAACCCATAACAGGTTTATCACTCTAGTCAGGACGGCAAGGCAAATGTAAAACCTAACAAAACAAGCGACGCCGGAAGCAAAGTAGATGCTGAAAACTGGCAAAGAATGAAGACACAAACGCTTGGATGGCACATTGGAAGGATGGCCTGCGCGATGGCTGCAACTTGCCGCAATCTGGTCCGTTTGTGAATCCGCTCAAGGCGGCTTCGAGCCGGAAAACAAAAAAACGCATGCTAGGTGGCAGTTCTTGGGTTGCTGCCCAGGCTTTGTCGGTTCATCCCAAACCTCCATGGTCCCAGGACCCACGTGCTGTTTGTGAACCCTTGACGGGTTAACCACGACCCCTTAGTATCAGCTGATCGGTAACTGTAAAGGCTGGCGCACAAGGGGCGAAACTCTCCGCGAGCTGTGGCACATTGTTGGCAGCTTGCGCGAGGGTAGCAGTAATACACACGTCGTGGCTGAAGGTGGATGCTACCTATGATGTGGAGCGCCACCTTGTGTCCAGGGGTGTCCTGAAAAATTTGCTTGGCGAAGGACCCAACCATACGCAGGTGTGAGTACCGCAATTGTGATTCACTTTTTCGGTGGTGCTCCCTAAGAGGCAACGAACCGTGCTAGGGGTGCGCCGAGATGACTAGCGTGGTACACAACGCGAGCGAAAACGATTGATCAGAGTACGTAGGAAGACTGAGCGCGGGCGAATCTGAGCGCGAGCGCTTCTGACTGTGAATGAATATGCGTGCGAGCGCTTCTGACT